CTTTAAATAAAGCAGGGTGAAGATACTTCTGTAGATTGTATTAATCAATACACCCTTCTGTATACCAGCAAACTTAAAATTAATTAAAATTAATTAAGTATATTTAATGTCCCATGCAAGATGGGTAATAAGTAGCGATTTGTATATATTTTATCAATTCTGTATAATATCACTTATTTGGCTTTGAAGGTATAGACAATGGGAATTTTAATTGACTACGGTTGCCAATTATGCAACGCGATTAATTTTGCTATACTGGTATTTTGAATCTTATCAATCGATGAATCAATACATTTTGCTTGATAAATATCGACAATCGGGTAATACGAAAATTTTTTTAAGAAAATCGTTTAATAAATTCTGCTTGACGCAGTTATTTAATAAGTTCTATAAGAATATTAGTATTGATATATATATTCATATTAGATTGTATCAATTATGAAATGTACAGTATTACTAATGTTATCAGAGTAAAAGAAATCATAGTAATAAATTAAATATTTAACCATGATCGAAAAAGGTATTGTATATCTGTCATGCTAGTTAATTTCAGTTGTGTCCATACGATGACGATGACATATAAATATCTAATATTATTAGAAAGTAGCACAACATTATATTCTAATATTTAGATATTAATTGATTTCAGTCGTCCCCCATGCGATGGGATATAAAAATAAAATTATATTATATAAATGGAGGTACGTATTTGGGTGTGGGCTCAAGTGAAAAGAAGACCTTTAAGGACACTCACACACCAACACCAACACCCTCACCCTCAAACTCTTAGTATTTTGACCGAATGCTTATATAAGAGATGCGCCGTATAGTTCCTTAGCAGAGGCCAACTTGACTTTATCTGGGTTAGAATTTTATTTTTCAAAAAACAAATGATGGAGTCGTCTAAAGTAGTGATCAGTACTTACCAATGTTATGTTACGAACTTTCCACAATCTTGTTCCTTATCTAATTCGATTAGGTCTTCTAGAAATTTAAGTTTGATGCGTATGTCATGTCAGTTCGATGAATGCAGCCAAGTTCAACATGTTTAAAATCTATGACAAAATTATCACATCATATTAATGAACATTGATTTTCAAGAATAGTTTTTCGAACAGGCAACGTATCGAAATAGTTTTAAAGACCAAAAAATCACTATATTCGAATGTGTTGATACTGCTTTTTGTACAAATCTATCACATGTTTCAAGCGAAAAATTCATACATAGCTATATCATGTCGAACATGCTATTAAACAGAGAATTTTGACGCCAATCGTTTAGAGAAATATGTAGATATACGAGCTGGAATGGAAAGATCTTTCATTCAACATAGTCAGATGTTCAGCTATTCTGAAAGATCCTGCGGTTATGATTTCAATTGGGGCCTCTTGATCAGTGGCATTCATCGATATCATGTTCACTTAAATTACATAAAGTAGAAAGGTACGATCTATAGTGCAAAGTTATTTTGTTTAAACTTTATCTACTATTATTAAACCATTGATCCATACATTTGTTAACTTGCAGATAGTTCAAGAAAGTTTTAGAATATTCTTCATTCTAAAGATAACCGAATCCAAATGTTTCAAGAGCCTGATGCTACTCATGATTGATTCATATTGTATGTGCTGAAAATGATTCATTACTTATTTCATGAAAAATGAATCAAGTGAAAGTTAGACCGAAACACCTCGAATTTAGTACAATGCGACACATGAATGAGTCAGTATCATATTTAGCCTCAGAGTGTTTCGACTATACTATTTCAAATAGAGGTCGAAGTAATTTTTCCAAAAATAAATCCATATATAAGATAATTACTATTTGCTTGAAAATGGATTATTCGCGAGCTCTGTATGTCAGCAAAATAACGTCAACCACTGTCAAAATCAACATCGATAGAATTAAATGATTACAGGCCCTTTCTGCACATTTCTATTGCAAACAAGTGGCATATTTTTTTTTACAAGAATTGACATTTTGTAACGGAATGGTATACAGAGCTCGTAACTATGCTATTTTGAAGCAAACACTATCTTACATTGACGTTCGTGTTGAAAAATGAATTCGACGTCTATTTCAAATGGTGTAGCCCAAAATGTTAAACTCGTCCGATGTTTTCAAAGAATTTTCGATTGCTCAATCAAGCTTGGGAATCACTCGAAGTGTAAATGGCCTTTCTAACTTCTGAAAATAAAATGCTCAAGAACAGTTGATCTATCTGCTTTTATAAATTTTTCGTTCGAACGATCCTCTCTCTTGCGTACAAAAGTAGCTCAAAGTCAAGGATGACCCCAGAATCTTTCGCAGACAGGAATCTGATGGGCTTCCATAGTCATCTGTTTTCTCCAACTTGAAATTCATATTGAGCAAGTTTAACTTCATCTTTGGAGAGACCATGCTCGAATGCAATTAGCCGAGGTACACTTTTCTTTGCGCAAGACTGTTGACCTTATACTTTTTCCCAATGTTATAAATCTACACATGATGAATCGGTCTGTCATCAATATTTGATTGTATTTGTCAATCTCACCAGCTGGCGAAAATATTCATTACTATCGAAGCTGCATAGAGCTTCTTGGTCTCATCAGAAAAAAGGGTGGGGTGTGGGTGGGTGTGTGTGAATGAAGAGAAGACCTATACACCGACACCCACATCCACAACCTGGCGTCTAAATTGCTTCCAGTTAGATAACAAAATTGATTGTCAGAAGCTATTCGCACTGACAGACACTTAGTGTAATATGAACGGAAGATTGTCATCTTTTCACCTTCAGACTCTGATATTGTTGACTACCTTGTACTCATTGAGTTACCTTAAACACAACATTATATAACGCTGACACAAGAGAAAAGAAAAAGAAGGTTAGTGAAGTGTAGCAGACGTTAAATGTTTTACTGTATAATGCAAAAAAAAATAGAAGTAACGATGATTTTTTTTCGTTCTTGTCATGTTAAGATTGAATGCTTTCAGAGCAGTCTCATGCAAGGTACAGAAAGAAGAAAGTCATGAAAGGAGTCAATGAAAAAATGACTAATGAATGATGATTTTCTTACGAAAATCACTGATGGAGAAACTATATCCCACGCATTATTACTAAAATTATTGTGCGCAGAGAAAAGCAAGAGAAATTTTGTAAAAATAGCAAAACAAAAAATGATGCGATTGATTTTTTCTGTTCGTTCGGATGTCTCCAACGAATAAATATTTTTATTCTTTTTCTCTCTGTTTCTCTTGTGTTTTTTACCTTAATATTTTCAATAAAAACAAGCAGGGTTCGTTCTTAGGTGTGAACGAAAAACATAAAACATTGTGCGTAGTAGAAAAATAGAGAGAAAAAGACACTAAATAGATATATACAGAGACGAAGTAGTGTATATGTGAGTGACAAAAAAATTATTTATAATTTTCAATTGACGATCAACTTATTATTCAGAGTAATATGGATGTACAAAAACCAAACAAGCCTATGTTTACATCTTCAAGGATCCCATCGACAACAACATCAGCACAGTCGGCTAGCATTCATCCAGGACGCCGCATTTTCCAAGATTTCTTTCTGATATGGTTAGATGCCAATATTGACCAAGGTAATAAAGATTATCAAAGTATTTTGGCACAACTTCAAAGCATAGTCAACGAAGTTCATACCTTCACGCAGATCGATCAGTGTATCTACTTCCTCACCAAAGTCGATGATAGAAAGGCATTTCTCATTGTAGCGGATGATATGCGACAACAAATGATGTCCCTCATCCATGATATTCCTCATGTTGATAGCATTTATGTCTTTTCTGGAAACAACGCTCGATACGAAGATTGCACCAACGATTGGAACAAAATTAAGGGCATATATACGGAAATTACACCTATCTGTAAAGCACTAAAAGTGGCCATCCAACAATTTAATCAAGATGACATCTCGATAAGCTTTCTCAATGTACATCAAGAGGGCTGCAGCCAAAATCTGAACGAACTTGAACCTTCGTTTATGTATACTCAACTGTTCAAAGAAATTCTCCTTGAAATCGACCATACTGAACAAGCAATTAAGGATTTTATTCAACACTGCCGCAACGGATACATCAACAATACAGTTACATTGGACCGTATCGATGAATTCGAACGTGATTATCGTCCACAATTATCAATTTGGTGGTACACTCGGGAATATTTCCTCTACCAGATGATCAACTGGTCTCTTCGAACATTGGAATCTGAGACAATTATGAAAATGGGCTTCTTTCTTCGTGATCTACATTGTCAAATAGAAGAATTACACAAACAACAGGCAAGAGGTTCTGAGACAGAGTCCATTATCGTTTACCGAGGGCAGGGGTTATCCACCGCTGACTTTCAAAAACTCCAAAAATCAAAAAGTGGTTTGATGTCCTTTAACAATTTTCTATCCACTAGCGAAAATCGACACGTTTCCCTTGCCTTCGCTGAAAGTGCCTCAACAGCAAGCGATATGATGGGCATCCTCTTTCAAATGTTTATTGATCTCACCATCACATCAACACCCTTCGCCTCCATCCAACAAGTGAGTTACTTCAACGAAGAACAAGAAATACTCTTTTCAATGCACACTGTTTTTCGTATCGGCGAAATTAAACAGATCACCAACAATAATCGCCTCTGGGAAGTACAATTGACTCTCACAGATGATAATGATCAACAGTTAGCTGCTCTCACACGCAGCATACGCAGCGAGCTCTATGGATCCACAGGATGGCAGCGACTGGGTGATCTTATGTTTACAGTGGGACACTTCCATAAAGCCGAAGAATTCTACAACGGATTGCTGAAGAACTCGTCCAATGACAGTGAGAGAGCATATATCTATCATCAACTTGCCCTATCGAAACATGCCAAAGCACAGTACAAAGAAGCAGCTACATTTTATGAAACGTCTCTCGAAATCAAGCATACAACACTCACAGAAGATGATCCTGAATTAGCTAAATCTTACAACAACATCGGTGCAGTATATAACGCCATGGGTGCCTACTCCAAAGCGCTTGAATTTTACGAAAAATCAAATCAAATAAGAGAAAAATCTCTCCCTCCGAACCATCCCGACTTGGCTCAATCCTACAACAATATCGGTCAAGTCTATCACGACATAGGTCACTACTCGAAAGCATTTGAATTTCACGAAAAATCACTTACAATAAGACAAAAAGCTCTGCCTCCAAATCATCCCGATTTGGCTATTTCTTACAACAACATCGGTCAACTGTATAACACCATCGGTGACTACTTGAAAGTACCTGAATTTCACGACAAAGCACTTAAAATAAGACAAAAAGCTCTGCCTCCGAATCATCCAGATTTCGCTAGTTCCTACAACAACATCGGTATAGTGCATAATGACATGGGTGACTACTCCAAAGCACTTCAATTTTGCGAAAAATCACATCAAATAATAGAAAACGCTCTGCCACAGAACCATCCTGCTTTGGCTACTTCTTACAACAACATCGGCTTTCTCTATAACAAAATGGGTGACTACTCGAAAGCACTTGAATTTTACGAAAAATCACATCAAATCTACGACAAAGCTCTGTCTCCAAATCATCCCAATTTGGCTCTGTCCTACAACAACATCGGTGGAGTGTATAACAACATGGGTGACTACTCGAAAGCATTTGACTTTTACGAAAAATCACATACAATATACGAAAAAGCTCTGCCACCGAATCATCCCGACTTGGCTCTGTCCAA